GTGGGCGCAGCGGCACCCGGGCGGCAGCCGCCTCATCGGCCACCATGGAGCGGAGGACGCCACGGTAAGGACTCCACGGGACTGTGGGGGACCCTCGAGCCCCTCCCGGGCGGACTGGGGACCCCACCGGCGGCTGCGCCTGGCAGGTGAGAGTCCTCCCGGCATCCAGGTTCCCCATGCTCTAGGTCCTAGGTCCGCAGGCCCGAGGGAGGGATGGGCCGCCCGTCACGGGGACTCCACAGCATCTGCGGGGTCTGGGCAACGCCAGGGAGGTCTGGTGGGGTGCCCAGGGCGGCTAACCCAGGACCACTTCCCTACAGGGAGCGCACAGAGGTGAGGGGCACCCGTTGGCTCTTGGAGCCCAGCCTGGAGCAGCCCAAGGGGAGGGGACTTGGCCTCTCCCCTCAACTGCCACCTGGGCAGGAGGGGCTGGGCCCTGCTGCTCTGTCCTAGACCAGCCAGGGCTCCAGAGCTCAGCAGGCAGGTCCTTCCCTACCTAAGACTGGCCAACTCTTTCCTGCCCTGTTCAGCCGACAGTCCAGCCAGCAGGATCCTGAAACCAAGCGTAGACAGCCAGGGGCCAGAGCTGGCCGGGGACGGCACTGCCCTGAGTTGTGGCAGCCCGAGGGCCAGGCAACCGAGCCCACGTGCAGGCCCTGCCGTGCCCACAAGTGGCCGGGATGTGTTGTTCTGCGGGGCACGGCCAGTCGCTGGCGGCCCTACTCCTGTGGCAGGCTGGGGGCAGGAGCAGGAAGGGCCGAGGAACACGCCTGTGAATCACCTCTTCCTGCCAGAGCCCGGCCTGTGCCGGGCCCCTCCCATCCCACGCCTCCTCTAGCACCAGGCCCAGGAATTCTGTGATGGTCTCACCAGTGCTTCCTGGCCTGTGGAAATAAAACTTGCTCCCTAGGGCTGGCCCCTGCTCTGACCTTGAGGCTGAGTGACCTTAACTGGGCTCAGCGTGCCTCTAAGCCTCAGTTTCCTCATCTGTAAAGGAGGAGAGCAGCCCTGTGCCCAACCAGTTGAGGGCAGTCTCCATGCTGGCCCCAGGGGCCACCCCTGGCTCCCCAGAGTGAGCCCCCTGCAGGGATTGCTTCCGGCCACAGCATGGCTCCTGGGGCAGTTGTCCCAGGGCTCCACACACTGGGCTGGGCTTGAGGGAAGTTCCTGGTCTGCCCAGGCCCAGGGCTGAGGGGCTGGGTAAACGCCGTCTCCATCCACTACAGGCCACCAGGCACACAGGGTCGGTCCCGCCCAGCACCACCGCCCAGCACAGCCCTGGAGCCCCGGAGTCCAGGCCTAGAGCTGCCTGCCAGGAAATTCCCAGAGTTCCTGTGCGGCCGAGTCAGCCCTGGTGCCCTGGGGAGGGAGCGCCAGGCCGCCGGCCAGGTCGGTCCAGCGTCACCGGCACCAAGGGACTGGCAGAGCCACCCAGGGCCGAGGCCCCTGTGGCTTGGCCTCCTGGCCATGGGCTGAGCCCCATGTGGTGCTGGGTTCCATGCCGAGCCTGTCACTGTCAGGGAAGAGCTCCTCAGGCAGGGCAGGTTGGCTCAGAACAGATCCAAGAGGGACCAGTGGGCCATTCTCCCATAGGCGGTGAGGTCCACAAGTCAGGGGCACCTGGGGGAGGTGAAAGGACAGGCCCAAGCGGAGCCTCTGAGGTGGCCTTCAGCGGGCAGAGTTGTGGCCCCCAGGGTGTGGGGCCTGCCTGTCGGATCTGCCAGAGCCAAGGGAGTAAGGGCCAGGTCGCCAGCCTCGCGCCCTGGGATCACCCTGGGATCGTGAGCCCAAGCTGTGGAGGGGCGTCACGTGGCCTCAGGTCGGCCTCCAGTGGCCGCGTTCCCACTTGCAGATGAGGAGACCAAGCAGAGTGGTCCCATGGTTAAGGATAGTCGGGCTCTGAGTGGCTGTTTGGTTCCACCGGTTCCATGTGCCCTCAGGCCCGGGTGGACATCCAAAGCCGGTGTCTCTGCCAGAGGGGACCCTGAGGAGCTGCAGAGGGTGGGGTGGGGCATCCCCGCCAGTCACCTCCCCACATCCCTTGAAAGGGTGGTTTAGTCCAAAGAAGGAGCAGTAGGGGGTGGGGGCAGAGGAGGGACCCCAGGGACCCCAACGCAGCTTTGGGGGGCCAGTGGAGAGGACAGAGCGGCAGGGGGACTGCACGGCTGGTGTGGGAGGTCAACTGGAGCTGCCTCCAAGCCCTGCCCCTGCCCTCTGGGCCTCAGTTTCCTTGTCCGTGGAGAGTCAGAATGCTTTCACCTTGGTCTCACGGTGGGGTATGCGGGCCGCAGAGCTGGGCGCTGCAGGCCCAGACTTTTTTTTTTTTTTGGTTATTTAATTAGGTTCTTAGTAAGAAATTTGGAAAGCCAGTTTGTGAGGGTACATTCTATTTGTCAGAGCAAAAAGGGATCACATGCAGCTCTGGAGCTGAGGAACAGCTTTGGTTTTCAGTAAAATCTGAGTCCGCCACTTTCTGATCCACCTTGCACTGCTCGGGAATCCGGTTTCTCTCTCGGTGTGGAGACCTCACCTGCTGGTGTCTGGGCTTCACAGCTGCTGCTTCTTGAAGTCAGGATCCGTGAGGGGTTTGGGGATTTTCACGTGGCTGATAACAATTTCTGTGGAGGTGGCAAGGACAAACTTCTGGCGTGTTCTATGCAGCGGAACTCGATACAGGTTAAGAGGCCCCATCACAAGTAGCAGCCACTTCCAGCTGCTCCAGGAAAACCACTCTCTCTTCTCAGTTGCAGCCTGTGAGGATGATCAGGACGGTCCGGGGCTGATGCTGGCCTGCGGTTTCCTCGTAGGCTGACTGGAGGGTTTTGTGCCATAGCTCAATAGCTTTCGAGCGCCTTTTCAGCAGGGCAGTGTCTAGGCACTTGGCAAAGCTTAACCAGCAGGCACCGCCATTCGTGTCACCACCAACTGGTTTCGTGAGAGTAGCAAGAACCTTCTTTTTTTTCTCAACCTTGGATTTAGCAGCCGTGTACTTCCTCGTGTACAAAGTAGATCAGGTCTGGGGTGCCAAGCTCTGTCCAGGACTGCGAGTGCCACCTCGACTGGTCCCGGCCCAGCACCCTCAGTCCTGGCCACCTGGCACAGCGACCAGCCTCACTTGGAGGCCCTGCAGGGGCGGCACAGAGGCTCAGGGGCCCGCCCGGGTCCTGACCCAGGCTCCATCGCACAACTGTGTCCCCAGAGTGTGTGGCTGACCTCGCTGTCTTCTCTCCGGGCCCTGGGTCCTCGAGCAGAGCCAGGACAGCATGGGTCACACGGCCCCGAGGGCGGAGTCCGGTGCCTGGCCGCGCAGTCCAGCCTGTCCCCAAGCCAGACTTTCTGTCGTGGGGCCAGGCAAGTTGGAACTACAGTGATGCGCCACTCTGAAATCAGTCCTTTATCATAAGCTGGCTGATGGAGAACGGCACACACAGGAAAGGCGGTTCTCAGGGTCCTTTCAGGGGCTCTCCCATTTGGGGACTTCACAGGGGCAGAACTTCCACTAAGCTCATGGGGGTGGGGCAGTTTCACACGGTTTCATTAAAGCCAAATGTCACACAGGGTCTTCTGTTTACCAGGCAGTAAAGATAACATAGTTGCAGACTCATAGGGTCCTGTTTACCAGGCAGTAAAGAGAGCAAAGATAAGGGGTGCAGATTCACCAGGGTGCGGCAGTCATTAACCCAGGGGAGCCCAGTGGAGTCTGCGATCCCGGTCCCATTGGCTGCAGCCCAGGGAAGCTGACGCAGCCCAGGGAACTCACCCGCTGCACCCGGGGCCTCGGCTTCCTCCCAGGGTGGATGGAGGGAGCCCCTGGCCTTCTCTGTGCGCAGCCCTGGCGGTGTGCTGCCTCGTGTGCCAGGCTGCATGTGGCGTGGCCGTTTTCCTGGGGGCCTGGACCCTGGCGGCAGAGGTGGCTGTGTGCCTGGTGTGGGCGCTGGGCTCCACATACTCATGGCCTGTGCCAGCATCACTTCCGCCCAGCTGCTCGGCCTCAGCCCCTCGGGGGAAGGAAGGCGGACACTGCTCCGCGGCCCAGCTGCACGCAGGACCACACTGCTGGCTCTGCTCACATGGGCCCGGAGGCATCAGATTCTCGGAGACCGAGAGGGATGGTGGCCACAGACTGGGCAGCTGGTGATGAATGGGCGCAGTGTAAGGGCCTGGGGGTGGACAGCGCTGACCACACTACAGCAAGACTGTCCTCAGCACCCCTGAACGGGACGCTGGAGATGAGTGGTTTGTGTGTCCTTTGCCTTAACAAAGAATTTTATAAAGAAAGCAAATGCTTAGAAGGGCCCTGCAGCCTGGCCGCCTTGGTTTACCTAGCACTCTGGGAGGCTGAGGCAGGAGGAGCTCAGGCCCAGCCCAGGCTCCTCAGGAGGCAACCGATCAGCTCCAGGCTGCACAGGGAGTGAGGTCACTGAGCCCCAGGAGCACCTGGCTCCCCTCCCTCCTCAAGCTCCCCGCATGCAGGGCCAGGTGGCTTCTGCTGGCCTCGACCTCTGCCCGGCCCACCTCCAGAGGCCCCACCCTGTAACAAGGTCCAGGAGCACAGCCAGCCTGGGCTGTTCCCAGGGCTGCCCTGGGCCAGGGAGATGGCAGGCAGTGGGCGAGGGCGTCCTTTCCTGCGTTGTGTGGGCTGCAGCTGTGACCATCACTGAAGTTGTAATTGGTGTTTAAGACACTGTCCACGCTCGTGGGTGCCGAGTGCTGTGTGGACACATGTGCACCCTGCTCACGGGCTGGCAGGACCCGTCAGTGGGGCCCTGACCGCAGGGGTCCCTCCCCTAGCAGCCCCCCGAGAAGGCCCTGTGGCACCTGTCCCAAGTCCTTGGGGACAACACCACGCAGGCACTCACCTGCGGAGTGGGCACCTGAATCCACAAGGACAGAAATCAGCTGCAGAGCTTCACACAGGTGGTTGCGTGTGAGGGAAAAATATGGTGAATGCTTAGGGTTTAAAAATGTCACAGTAAAAGACACCCTGCTGGGCCGGGGATTTAGCTCAGTGGTTCCGTGGCCTGCCTGGCAAGCAGAGGACCTGAGTTCAATCCCTGATAACAACAACAACAACAAAAAGACACCCTGCAGAGAATCCCTTCAAACTCCTCCCTCACTTTTAACACATTCGTCCCCTCATCCTGGCCACTTTCTGTACCAGCTCTGGAGTCCTCTTTCTCTCTCTGTTTGTTTCTTATTTTGTGTTGTGTTTTGAGATAGAATCTTGCTGTGTAGCTCAGGCTGGCTTCAAACTTAAGGTGATCCTCCTGCCTCAGCCTCCCAAGTACTGGGGTTACAGGCCTGTGCCACCACTCCCGGCTGGAGTTAATTTCACTCTTCTGGCTGCCTGGATGTCATGAGTCCGTTCAAAATGCTTCCTTCTCGTGGTCAATCTGACTTGGGAAGAGCCAGAAGTCACCCAGTCCAGATCCCATGGATAAGGTGGACGAGGGCTCAGCGTTCTTCGTAGCTGCCTTTCTGCTGGATGCCACTTGGCGGCAGCAGTCACCACACTTCTGTAAGACAGGAAGGAAAGAGGACTCGGGAGCTGCTGCAGAAATGGCAGGATGGGGGCACTCTGAGGGGATCCGAGGCACCACCTTTCCCCGCCTGTAGCACCTGTGCTTAAATGTGGCCACGCACCATGCATTCGGGTTTCCTAAAGCCGAGTGGGGCGACCGCACAGCGCGGCAGCCAAGGAGGTGCCTCCCCTGCCTCCGTGCTGCACGCCAGGCGCTCTCCCTAGCTTCCTTCAGTCCTTTCTCTTTTTACGGGAGGGCCGAAGAAAAAAGACAACAGAGACTTGTGCAATTTCAAAGGATTTGGGCGCGGGAGATCAGTGCCTCAGATTGGGCAGGAGAGACTCCGAGCTGGCCAGCGTCTATTGGGTGCACACACTAGTGGGGCCGTGGTGATCCTGCTGTGGAGAGGAAAGCAGGGCAGGGCGTTCCCTGCACAGGAGGGGCCGAGCTCAGCCAGTAAAACTCCTCCTCCCCAGGTGAGACCTCTCTTAACCCTGGGCTCTCAAGGAACCTGGACCACTTCCTTCCACAGATACAGTCTTTCCCTGAGGGCCACATTGGGGTAGGGTGGGGGGGTCTCTGAGGCTCCAGCTGTGACGGGGAGGCCAACGGAGTCGTGTTTCCTCAGGTCATAGCCAGCTCCGGCCGGGTAACACTGGCACTAGACAGCTATGGTCATACTTTAATTATGAAGTGATCTTCCCCAAATTTATGTAGAACTGCTCTCACATTTTTTCCTCCAGTTCCTCCTTTATTCCTTCTGTTCTGTACCTCACATCCAGCTGTTACACAGAATCACAGTGCTGAAATGAGCAAATTAGGTGTATTGTTTTACTATTAAAATTTATGCTTTATCTGGAGGCTGAGGCAGGAGGATCACTGTGAGTTTGAGACCAGCCTGGGCTACATAGTGAGTTCCAGGTCAGTCTCACTACATAGTGAGACCCTGTCTCAAAAAGCAAAACAAAACAAAAATTTATGCTTTACACCAGGCACGCTGGCACACGCCTATAATTCCAGCATGCTGAGAGGCTGAGACAGGAGGATCACAATTTGGAACCCTGGCTGGGCAATTTATCAATTTATCAAGACCCTGTCTCCAAAAAATTATATATTTTATGCTCCTACATTTTTTCCTTCTTTTGAGAAACAGTCTCACCAAGTTGCTCAGGCCAGCCTTGTGCCTGCGATCCTCCTGCATCAGCCTCCCGAGTAGCTGGGATTAGGCTCTGTGCCATTATGTCCACCAGTCTGCTCTTGGTTTTTCATTTTTATTTTTATTAGCACGTGTGCAGTGATAGCACACATTGTGGGGAGTTTTTACTTCACCTCCCCTGCTTCCGCCTTCCCCATCTCTGCTCCTACTTTTAAACCCACTGAGGGGGACACGTCCGTGTCCCCGAGAACCCTTGTGGGGCCTCTGGAGCCTGTCCGGCCTGGTGCTCACACTTGGCGGGGAAGGACAGTGGTGTGCAGACCCGCTGGGGGAGCACAGGTCGCTCTCGGAAGGAAGGGGTCTCCTGGGGTCCCCCGGGAAACCCATACTGCACGCACTGGGCTGTCCGGAGAAGCCCCGGTGCAGGGGAGGCACAGTGAGGCATTGGGGGCCCAGGTGTGTGGCGGCCGCCTGCCCGTGCCCTGATCTCTGCTCTCCATCCACCAGGACGCTTTCCACGCCTTCCACCAGGACCTCGGCTTCGTGCGCAAGTTCCTGCGGCCCCTGCTGGTCGGCGAGCTGGCCCCGGAGGAGCCCGGCCGAGACGGGCCTCAGAACGTGAG